ATATATATATATATATATATATATATATATATATATATATGTATATATATATACACACACATATACATATATATACACATTCATACAATGTGTGTATATATATACATTCACACATATATATATGTGTGTGTGTGTGTGTGTGTGTGTGTGTGTGTGTGTGTGTGTGTGTGTATTTACATATATATATATACATATATATGTATATATGTATATATATATATATATATATATATATATATATATATATATATATATATATATATATATATGTGTGTGTGTGTGTGTGTGTGTATTTATATATATATATATATATATATATATATATATATATATATATATATATATATATATATATATATGTATGTATATATATACATAAATATATACACATACATACAATGTGTATGTATATATATATATATATATATATATATATATATATATATATATATATATATATATATATATATATATATATATATATGTATATATATATATATATATATATATATATATATATATATATATATATATATATGTATATATATACATAGATATATACACATACATACATAGTATATATATATATATATATATATATATATATATATATATATATATATATATATATATATATATATATATATACTTATTAATCTATATCTCATTATTTTCTCCTTCTCCACCTCGAACGTGGGAAATTGAAACCCTCCTCCTCTTCCTCCTCCTCCTCCTCCTCCTCCTCCTCCTCCTCCTCCTCCTCCTCCTCCTCCTCCTCCTCCTCCTCCATCATTTGGGTCAGATGCCGCCGGCTCTTTGCCACGGGGGAGGGAAACTAAAAAGATTAGATGGTTGTATTCTCGTTTTGGGTATGCTTCCGGCACCCCAAGGAGACATTCTCAAATTGGATCCTGATTTCTCCCTCTGCTGGGACAATTTTCTCAATCTTTTCCTTGGATTTCCTTCTAATTCTGTCCTCGTGAGACGGAATTTGGGCATAAGTATCGTCTCCATATCATCGCCGCCGTGAGACAATCATTTTCTCTTTTTTTTCATTTGTGAAAGTTGCTCTTACGTAAAAAAAAAAAAAAAAAAAAAAAAAAAATACGTTCTGGAAAGGGATGAGCAGCTTTAATTTCGTTTTTAAAGCACACTTCTTATATCTTACTCACCGTATTATTGACGTTTTCTTTTTATTATTCTATTTTTTTTATTTTTTTTCCAGCTACATTCTTCTTGCTAGGCCACGCAGGCTATACCCTACCTTCGCCTTTGTGTTTGCCTTTCTCTTCTTTGACAATACTGCTTTTACCTTACTCTTACTCTTACTGGATGCCCTTCCTACCGCCAACTCGTACTCCGGAGGCGAAAGAAGCATGGCAGTAAGGCTATGTGACTGAATTTATCCGTAGAGTACAGCATGAAAGCAATATATTGTACCGTATATTGTTATGCTGTGTTTGTTTTGCTATGTTGTTGTTTTACTGTGTCTATTTATATCTACGGATATATCCAGCGTGTTTCATTATAATTTGAATTGACTTTAGCTTTTCTCTTTGTTCATTTTGAAAAGGATACTAATAGTAGCGCGTGGTTCATTATTAAGCTTAGGCCTTAGAAATAAACACAATTGGCGGTTGATTTATAAATCAGTTATAAGAATAAGACATTTCTGTTTATGGCGTCGGTGAAGTGACTAAAAAATGAATTTGAAACATAAAAATAAAAGTAAACTGCTATAAATTCCGGAAAATTCAATAAAACAATAAAGTTCAATCAAACTATTATTAAACTACAGCCATATACAATAAAAGAAAAAAAAGAAGAAAAATAGGTAAAATGAAATATCCAATCAATATAAACAAAATAGAAATACGACTTCGGTATTCATAGAGGGAGTGGCAATCACATGATATTTAATCAATATAATAACCTTCCTGTATTCCGACGCCTCTGAAATCTCCGACGCTACTCTCTCACATCACGAAAAAAGTAAAAGCTATAAATTGAAACTCTCTGAAAACCTGTTTCTTTCTGCTTGTCATTTCTACTGTCTTATGCCAGTTGCTTGCGCTCTGCGTACTTAAGACAGCGCACAACGGTAAATAAAGAAACGAAGCGGAGGATTGTGCGTGGTGTTACCCTTTCCAAAATTAAAGTACCGTAAAGTATCATTCTCGAGACAGTAATGTCCCATTCCCTTTAATTGGATGCACGTATCCAAATACTTACAGTTTGACTCACGTATCTAAATGTTTCTTATAATTCAATTCACGCATCCAACTATTTCTTACAAATAGATTCACGTATCCAGCCTTTACTTATAAATGAATCCACGCCCCCCTGCTCAGCTCTGCAGTGAGCACCCTTTCCAGCTACATAAGATCCATTTTCTAAGGGGGAGACTTCGATATTTCGCTCGCTACACCTATCAGATATGTCGCGTCGGTAGGTCGATCGATAGAAGGGTAGGCCGGATAGATGTGTAGGCCATATGGGT